ACACAATGTAAAATTGTGCAATCAGGCAAGTAGGTAACAGGTCACCCTATGAGGATTTAACAGGAAAGCTAAAAACCAGGAACTTATGACTTGATATGGCATATTAAAATGGAAGCAAGTACAAAAAGGTACTAGAAACATGGGACACCTAGACTTACCAAAGTTGTTTTAACTGAGAGTCCTCACATTGCATTCTTTGGTATCAACAGAGGAATTCTGGAAATGGACAGAATTCATTCACCATCCTGTTTCATGACAGCCATAACTGCCAAGCACCTGAACTCCTCACTATGCCATTCCTTTTTTGCCATTTCATATACAAACAACTTTAGAGGCTTGTGGGCTATTCAACATTTTTGCAAAAAGCATACCACAATAATATGACATAATGCAACTTCTCACAGTGTTCTCCAAGATTTTTATCTAAATATGGTTGAATCATCCTCCTCTTGCACTGTAATCTACTGCCATATCTCGTATCTTTTTATGTAAGCCTTTTTCCCCATGTTTCTCTCCAGCACATTCACTTTGGTACCTAGCCCAGGCAAACTGACAGCTGTGTCTATGACCAATACCGTGTGTATCATATCACTGCATTTCATAATGTCCATTAGATTTTCTGGACAGCATCTAAGACAATTATTTGCTAAACTTGGTAAAGCTAATACCTCAACAAATAATCTCAGGTTTGAAACTGAGGAAATAACTGCTGCTGTTCTCTAGAACCTGTGCAGAGTTCTAATTCCATCAACTGTCCTCAATCCAGCTACAGATTCTGTGAGTTTGGCTCCTTGGTACATCTGGAGAAAGGAGGGAAAAAAATAAAACCTTTTGTTTGTCTTAGAACACCCATCTTAGAAATGTTGAGTCATCACTGAAACTGTTAAAAACAGCCTCCTTTTACAAACATGGTACCAAACAACAGGTTTATTTCAAACTACAAAGTGGTTCAGGACTACAACTTAAAGGATGTTGTTTTATCATGGCACAAGGTGTATTTTAGTCACCCACAGTTAACCCTCTTTTTCTATTAAGTGATAATCAGCCAGGATGTCTATGTGGGTGTAAGAGGTCCTGACGCCCTCTTATATTCTTTCACTCCTTCAAGAGGACACTTTGTAGTAAATTATTTATAAACCATGGTCTCTGGCTTCACCCTCTGCTTCCACTGCAGAAACAGAGATTCTGCTTTGATCAGTTGCCCAAAGTCTTGTGCAGTAATTCTTCACCAAAGCTCAAAAACCTCCAGGCCAGCAGAAAGCCTGCTGCAGCTGGGCGTCTACACTACGTCACTATTGCTGTCACCCCCTTGACCTGCAAACTGGAGTGATCTGAACACTAGAAAAGCAGGTTAGGTCGTAAAGTCATCTAGTAAGGTCTTCTTCAGGAGTGCCTTACATGGGGCTGCATTCTAGAGGAAGTTTCCCTGTGTTACACGCTGGACAAGGGTAAGATGAAATACCTTCTTTCAAACAGACGTACAAGATACACAACCACCTGCAGCGTCGATAAAGCCAAACAGCCACGCCACGGGGAGGGAGGAGACTTCCTTTTATTCACCTGCGGGTACGCCGAGATCGCCCTGCCACTGCTCACCAGGACGCAGGAAGCAGGTACCCGGTGACCCCGCGCAGCACCAGCTCCGGGCCACCGCATACTGTGCTACACCCTGTGGGGCGGGGCGGGCGCCCCGCACGTGTGGTCGCGGTGCGGGACCATGCGGCTGTGCGTCAGGAGCCTCCCCCCGGCGGCGGCACGGCGGCGCTGCGCGGTGCTGCTCGGGTCGCTGCTCCTGGCCGCCGCCCTGGCGCTGCGCGGCGCCACCCGGCCCTGCCCCGCCGGGCACCCGCGCTGCCGGCAGCGCCTGTACCGAGCGCTGGAGCTGCCCCCCGGCAGGAGGATCAACTGCTCGGGGGTGGTCCGCGGGGACGAGCGGGCCATCCAGGAGGCACAGCTCAGCAACCTGGAGGTCGCCAAAAGCAGAGCTACCCTGACACCCGGGCAATACCTGAACATGACCAAGGACTGCAGCGCCTTCAAGGACAGCCGGCGGTTCATCGAATTCCCGCTAAGCCAGGAAGAGGAAGAGTTCCCCATTGCCTACTCCATGGTCATCCATGACAAAATCGAGATGTTCGAGCGGCTCCTGCGGTCCCTCTATGCCCCCCAGAACGTCTACTGCGTCCACATTGACATCAAGTCCCCAGCCGCCTTCCAGGAAGCCGTGCGGGCCATCGTAGCCTGCTTCCCCAACGTCTTTGTGGCGAGCCGCCTGGAAGACGTGGTCTATGCCTCCTGGTCCCGGCTGCAGGCCGACCTCAACTGCATGCAGGACCTGTTGCAGAGCCCCATGCCCTGGCATTACGTCCTCAACACCTGCGGCACCGATTTCCCCATCAAGACTAACGCCGAGATTGTCCGTGCTCTGAAGGTGCTGCAGGGGCGGAACAGCATGGAGTCAGAGAAGCCGTCGGCGCTCAAGCGGGAGCGCTGGCAGTACCACCACGAGGTGGGGCAGGTCATCTCCCGAACAGGCACCGAAAAACTGCCGCCGCCCCACAACTACCGCATGTTCACGGGCAACGCGTACGTCGTGGTCACCCGCGCCTTCGTGCAGCACATCTTCGAGGACCCCGCGGCGCAGCAGTTCCTCGAGTGGGCCAAGGACACCTACAGCCCTGACGAGCACGTCTGGGCCACGCTCAACCGTGTGCCCGGTGTGCCCGGCGCCATGCCCCCGAACGACAAGTTCCAGCTCTCGGACATGAACGCCCTGCCCCGCCTGGTCAAGTGGGAGTACCTAGAGGGCGACACCAGCAAGGGCGCGCCCTACCCGCCCTGCACCGGCCGACACCAGCGCGCCGTCTGTATCTACGGGGTGGGCGACGTGCCATGGATGCTCCAGCAGCACCACCTCTTGGCCAACAAGTTCGACCCCTTGGTGGACGACGCCGCTATCGAATGTCTGGAGGAGCACCTGCGCCACAAGGCCCTCTACGGCCGGGGGCTCTGAGGGGAGCCGCCTCACCTCGCCACCACCTGTCTCCTTCCGCAGGCGCGTACAGCGGCAACGCCTCAGGGGCCGCGCAGGAGGCGGGAACGCCGCGCCGTGAGGCCAGAGGGGCGCGGACGCGTCACCCGCGCTGGCGGAGAGGTCTCCTTACGCGGCGGTCCCCGGAGACCGGGAGCGGCCGAGCGCGGTAACTGACGGTCGGGACGGGCCGAGCACGGACCGGGCGCCCAGGGACCCCGGAGCCGAGGGGCAGGAGGGGTCCCGCACCGAGCCGCACGGTGTCCCGTTCTCCTCACACAGCCTGCGGGCAGGCGGGGCCAGGGCAGGGACCGCGGAGACTCCGGGTCCTGCTACAACCAGAGCTGAAACTAAAATGGTAATTGGTTTTCTACACTGCACCTGCTGCACGGCTGAGCCAAACAGCTGGCAGCTGCTTTTGTACTGCCTTAAAGTCTAGTTCTGTCAGTCCTATTAAAAATCCTTCAATAAACCGAAATAGAGTAAATGGATGGTTCCTTGGTATTGTGTGTCCTGGCCTCTGAGGAGAACAGGTTGTGTTCTAGGCAGAGCCATTAAACCTATTGAATATGCCTGCCCCTGTGTTACGGGTGGAGAAGTGGGGGACAGAGAGGTTGTGTAGGTTATGGTGTGCAAACCAACAGCTTTCCATCATATTCCTCTTCCAAAGAAAGGGACTTTCCTGCAGCAGTTAGTAATGTAATTGCCATATCCAGTGGTGTGTCTGGCCTTTCAGATGAACAAAACAGTCAGATGAACAAAACAGTCATCCAATACATTGTCATTTCTTTAAGTTTCTAGAAGCCTAAAGATTTGTGAACATCTGTATTTCACCTGCATGTATTTTTCCCACCTTCTCATACTAAAGCCAGGCACTTTCCATGGGTCCAACAGCTCTTCACTACCTATTAATGCTGAGGGATTAATTCAGTTGTCTTTGTACTATCAAAACCCCCCTTCTGTCAGCAGACAGCTTTATAAATTCAAGGTCTCTGGTGGGAAACTTGCATTATATAATGATTTATACAAAATAGCACCTGCAGCAATGCTGTAGCATAAGGCGACATTTAGGTGAAGTTATGACTGCAGTCACACAGATACTTAAAGCAACTTTAAATAGGATGAGAAGAGGAAGTAACTGATGTAAAAGGTGTGTTAATGCAGGGGTGTAGACATCTTAAACTTGGTTGGGAAATTCCACTGGAAAAGGTTGCCCAGGGAGGTTGTCAATGCTTCATCCCTGGCAGTGATCAAGGCCAGGTTGGACGAGGCCTTGGGTAATATGGTTTAGAGCGAGGTGTCCCTGCCCATGGCAGGGGGGTTGGAACATGATGATCTTAGGTCCTTTCCAACCCTAACTATTCTATGATTCTATGACTTCACAGCAAAAATAGGCAAAACCTCCAACTGCTGGCAAGAGAAGCTCCCAGGTATTACTTGAGCATTTGTTCATTCAAAAAGAGCAAATGAAGTAATAGGATTGCTGGTCCCAGTGGGAAGCTCTTCCCAACTTCTGTTAACCTAAATGTCTGTAAAGTGAACAGACATTTGCTACAACAGAGATGGAAGCTTTATGCTAACCTGATAGCAACATAGAGAATTTAAAAATGGTTTCAGCAGCAAATTCAACATGAAATAGCAAATATCTCCATGTCCAGTACATTCTTTTAGAACAAACAAAACTCTGCTGACTCAGGGTAAGAATCAAGTCTCCCAACACAGAAAGCTGCATCTAACCACTGCTGCCTAATCTGATTATGCTTCTTGGAGCTCTTTCATTTACTTTATGTTAATACATAGTAGCCCCAAATGGTAAACTACTGCCAGTGGTTCACTGGGGAACTGGAATACATTCAAGTTTCTGGACTAAATGAGGCAGAGCATGATCAGTGTGTTTCTGACTCCGCCAGAGTGCTGTTTTTTTCCACTGGAAAATGGAGCAAAAAGGTGCATGTTCATGGAAAGGGGGAAAAAAAAGAAACCAAAAAACCACAAAACAAACCAAGAAATAACCCATACTCCCCTATTCCTATTGCAAGGAACTGCATCAAAACCAAACTCATCCATGAAATGGATGTCTGTAATATCTAAATAATTTCCATCTGAGCACCTACAGAAAGCAAAAAGGTGTTTGGGGGATGGAAAGAATCCCAGTCTGAAATGGTGAAACACTGTTGAAAGAGGCACCTTATTATTTTACAAAAGTACCTGTAAAGAAAGACAGATACTTACAGATTACTTACAGATGTGTTAACAGTAATTTTTGTTCCCTTAACTCTGCATGTTTAATTCTTCAGCTGTTTCTTCTCTCTCAGAAATACAAAGTGTTGCTTGTACATACTATTTAAATAACAGTGTTTCTTCTGTTATTGACAGACACTGCCTGACCAAAAAGGTTACAGATGGAGAGACAGACAAAAATACTTAGTTCTCGGGAAAACAAAGACACCACTTCAGATCTGTTCCACCGTAAGTCTTTAGCAAAGCCAAAGTAATTTTAATTTTAATGTTGCATGTTGAAATCTGTGCTCTTCCTGGTTAGACATTTACCCACATTTGAAAGAGCTTGCCTATAGAACAGGAAGGTCTCAAGTGTAAACAGCGTAACAAAAAAAAAAAAAAAAACAGCTTGGCAACACACTAGACACTTAGCAGTTACCTAAGAACATAGCCTATGCGGCCTTCTCCATTCAGAGATCACTGATTTGTATGAAAACAAATTCTGGCATTATCTGGACATGTAAACAATTTGTAAACTTCAACATTTTTGATTCAAAGAAAATTTTCAGTTTCTGTTGGTGCTGTTACTCACAATTTATCTCAGATTGTTTCCAAAACCAAAGGTTATCTTTGTGCAACTTTATTTTCAATTCACCCTCTTCTTTTAGTAGTGACTTAGTTTCTTCTGAAAGAACAAATTCAAAAGGTGAACTAAGACAAAAAGTTTGTTACAAAGGAATACTCTCAGCAATTCTTCTTCCAAAGACATGAGGAATGTCAGGCTTATGAGTGCAGTCACATGTCAAAGCAGCAATACAGAAAAGAAAAAAACAAACCTACATTTCCTTACCATTTCAAATGACAATAAAAAAATGTCACTTGACTCTAATACAGAACTTTGTATTCCAGGGATCTCAAGGCATCTTAGAACTAAGAAAGCATCTCAGAAAACTGGCAACGGGGCACAAAGATAGGATGGAATTTGCCCAAGTTAGTTGCAGAACTGAAAAAAGAATAACCTTCAAATAGAGCAAGACAAGCTTTAGCCAAAAGTAGCACTGGCATATCAGAATATAGGATCACCTCCAAACAATAGGTTAAACCCCATATAGGCTTAATCAGTAAAATCTTGGGCTATCCAAAATGGAAATAGTCATATCAGAAACATTAGTGTTAAATTTATCCAGTGATAAAACTACTATGATTTAAAAAACAAACAAAACAAACAAAAACAAAACAACACACAACAACCGCAACAAAACCTTTTCTTTTTTCCATTGAAAACTAGATAAAAATCTACTTCTGACACTTGCATCTACCATCACTTGTTAACTAGCAGCCTTAATTTTACACAAACTCCCAGTTGTTCCAGGAGGAAATATACTGCAAGTTGACATTTATCTTTCACAATATGCACAGGAGGAAGCTGAAACTATAATTCTGAAATCAAATAATTGCTTTTAAGGTCACCTGGCTTTAATTTATATTTTATTTCCAAGTGGTTTTTGCTTTATTTTTACAAGAACAACCTAATGTGAGCTGAAACTGGTATAATAGGTACTTAAACGTAGATGGGTTCATGAACAGCTCTTAACTCCAGTTGGGAGGGTCTGTTTCCTGGCTGCTTTGCATTTCTTTCATACCTGATCATCTCTGAAGTCTCTAAAGAGATGAGTCAATTAAAATAAATTCAGAGGAAAGCCGGTAATAAATTCTGAAAAACTAGAAGCAAACATGACCTACAGAGCAAAACATCAGTAAAGTACTTGCAGTCAGGAGTAAAACTGATTCGGGGAACAGGGTTAGGGGTGTTCTTCTGACTGCATCAGCACTAACCATGAAACATTAACTAGACTCTCAGTGAACTATTTTCCACTTCCTTGAAGGGTGCAGGCTCTTTTAGCACAAGGCAAAAATCAAAATATTAACAGATCTGTGACTTAAAACCTACTAAGCCATAACAGCTTATTTATACAGTAAATTTATCTTTCAGCAAAACTGTTTTCCTAAGAACACCCTTTAAGTTACAGTGAAGGAAAAGTCCACATCTATCAGTACAGCTTAATAAAGTTAAAATGCTTTTTAATCATGTTCCTACCCCGTGCCCGTGGAACATTTAGAGTACAGGAAAGCAAAACCAAGTCACTAACACCTTGACTGATACACTATCTCCTCAGCTGCTGAGATCCTTAGTATCCGTGTTTCGAGTAACTCTCATCTACTTCATGGTACCTAGTCATTGTGTAAAAGTACATAATAATCCTGATTAAACTTCTCTTCTGGGAATTCATCTCAAGTCCTTCCTGCTCCACACTTTCCTTTAATTTGTGTCTCTCTGATAACATTTGAAGTCAGGTGTTGACATCCCTGAATGAGCAAACAGCTTTCTTCAGATAACATCTGGTTTTGCACACTTGTGGAATTCACAAAACCTTTTTCTCAGAAGCCATGTTTAAACACAGGCAGTCACCCACAACCACTTCTGTACTCGTGCTTACTGCCTTTTCTTCACCTTCTTCTAGCTAATTTACTTTCTAAATAGAAGCATCCACTCCAGCTTAACTTCAAGGTGCAAAGGTATCTTTTACTTTCTGCTATTGATGGGTGGAAGTAACTGGGACCTTTCTGAAGAAAAAAATCAACAAAAATCCGCAAATGAATGAGTCAGTCCATAACACTACAGGCAAGGAAGGACCAAACAGACAGCATCAAGTATGCTGATGCTGTAGCAAACAAGGTGATTTGTCTTCCACTGGATATTAAAATAGCTTAGTATAATAAAAGTGCAGTTAACACTTTCAGGTGTAAGTTCAACGTTATCTTCCAAGACCACCAAGCACATTAAACATACGAATGTAGAGGGATTAGCTGAAATTCAAACACAAAAAATAGCAATTGGCAAGAAAATTATGGAAAGCAAAGCAATAAAAAGCAGGAAGAATAATGGCACCAGATCCCCTTACCTTCTCTTTGCTCCCTTCTTCAATGAACTGAAACAGCCTTCATGGAAGTAGCAGATCTGGGGCCGGGACAAACAGCATCCAAAAAATGTGGTTAGAACCAAAAAGAATGTGACACTTGCTACCAAGCTAGTGTCAAAGCTTCTGTTGGCAGCTCTTGAGGTTTGCAGGAATTAATTCCTCCAGAAGCACAGGCAAGCTTCTCCCCTGCAGTGAGCAGGGAGCAGTCTTCATCCCATAAAGCAGATTTTCTCCGAGGCATCACTGGTGCAATTCTAGACATCAGAAAGGTTATTCTCAAGAATTATTTGTACCTCACTATGCCTCAAGAGCTGTTTTTTAAAGAGATAGCAGAGTTAACAACGTAAATACCTTTTGCTGAATGGAGAGCATTGATCACAAAAGTGATCAATTCTTTATGTACCCAGGTAAACTCAGTAGTCTGTCTGCATCCGAATTTGAATTCCATGTCCTAGAAACATCCCACATATGCAAAAATACCAGATACCTGCATTGCCTAACACTGTACAGACAAGGAGATGGAAGATGTGTATGTAAGCTCATTTTAGAAACGGTAAGGAGTCAAACTCATAAGAAAGTATTTTGTAAATTAAATACAGAGCACATGGAAAACAAGGATGTTTCTAAGTTGGATGTTTTAAGTTGGGGCTGTTCAGCCTGGAGAAGAGAAGGCTGCATGGAGACCTCATAGCAGCCTTCCAGTATCTGAATGGGGCCTATAAGAATGCTGGGGAGGGACTGTAGTGTAAGGGCAAGGGGTAACGGGTTAAACTTAAACAGGGGAAGTTTAGATTGGATATAAGGAAGAAGTTCTTTACTGTTAGGGTGGTAAGGCACTGGAATGGGTTGCCCAGGGAAGTTGTGAATGCTCCATCCCTGGTGGTGTTCAAGGCCAGGCTGGACAGAGCCTTGGGTGACATGGTTTAGTGTGAGGTGTCCCTTCCCATGCGAGGGGCATTGGAACTCTATGATCTTAAGGTCCTTTCCAACCCTAACTATTCTGATTCTATGATTCTAAGGATTGTGCCATGAGCGGAAAACTAGTGGTCTGCAGAGCAACAGCTTAATGCATTTGGCATAACCAAACAGAGTTAGCCTATGTAACCATAAAACTTTAATCTGTGATACTAAAACATTAACCAGCTATGAAATAAAGCTTCTAATATGACCAATCATTAGCCAGGCAGCAGCAATACAAGAAGTTCAGGGTACATGAACCTTCTTGTCTGCCTTTTCTTCAGTTGCTGTTTGTGTTTGATAACTTTTCTTGTTTTGTGTGAAAGGCTTTCTCAGACTTTCAGCTTGAGAGGAAGGGAACAGATTAGAGAAGCATGTCTTATATCCACTTTTTCTTACTTGTATGTTATTTCACCTAAACCATTCCCTTACTCCCTATTTATGCATGGTCTCTAGCCTTCCACACAGACTAAATCACACAGGTTCCTCCAGCACACAATCCCTTCACAATCACTGTGGCCAGGGACAGACTGTTTCCTGTCCCCAGCCTTTCAAGTTGCTGTGCATTTCTTCTAACACTACATTATTATTAGCAAAAGGAAAAGTCTTAGAATAGTTCAGAAGCATCCATAATATTTTATTTCATATATCAATATATTTTTTATATATTTCATCTATGTCACTTTTTGCCACTCACTTAACTAAGGATGAAAAACAAGTTGATCATCAGTGTCACTTCAGCATTTGCAGTTTCAGTATGGTAAGACTCCAGTACAGAGCATGTACATCCATTTCAGAATGTCCCATCTCATTTTCAAATGCTTCCTTGGAAGGCAAGGCAATAGTCAAATCTCTGTTTTCACACTGAATAGGAACCACATAAGTAGGGTGTACAATTCAGTGTTACGGTTATGTATCAGCACAGGGAATATCCTATCACCTCCTTCCAAAGGACTGCATCTAGAGCTTCAATGAGACCACTGCTTTTTTTTTAAGCAAGTCAGTAAAGTTGTCCCAAATTATGAACATAATTATTCCTGGTTCCTGCTCACATTGGTCTGAATTTCACCAATTACTAAGTAGGAGACATCTTTGTCAACAAAATAATTTTTCCTTTAATTTGTATCTTTTTCTTAGTGTGTATATATATATTCATTACCTTATTTTCTTTTTCAGTTAAATATCTCTTCTCCTTTCAGTTAACAGCTAAGGCTGGGAGTGCTGAAGTAGTAGTAGACAACTGCTGAAACATAGAAATCTGATAGAGAAGTATGAATGTTAACATAAATCAATTCTACACAGTAACCTTACATCATCAGTACAATCGTGCTACTCTATTAAATTTGCTTTTAATGGAAAAATGCTATAATAAATATGCTAATGCAAACTTAATTGGAACAAAATAAGATATATAATCATTTACACTGGGAGGGAGTCCAAAGGCTACAGCAACTGGAGATTGAGAAGTTTCTGTCCAGGGAGAGGAAGAAAATAGCAGAGTTGGAGGCAGGAACAACAAACTTTTATATTTGCAAGGGCTGCAATTCAGCCTACCACATAAGTATTAGAGAACAAAAAAGTGTGTAAACCTAGAAGGTTGAGTCTGATGTAGAAAAAGAGAAAACCACAGATACACATTTACATCCTTTAAGGTAACAGCTTCCACAGATAGGTAGTGTGGTGTTCAAATGAGAGCAACATTCTGTTGTTCTGGTTTCAAAAACGGTTACTTACCAACCTGCAGTTTGTAGTGAGGGACATCTGGCATAGATATAAGACCAAACAAAAATTAATGGTAAACACAATACTTAGAACAGTCTTGCAAGCAAGCCTGTGAACTCCTTCGTCACTTGACGTGAGAGAAGCAGAAGTTAACCAAACATGATATATATAGTTTCATGTCCAAAGATAGGATTTAGAGAACTGTTAACATGTCAGTCTGGAAAGGCATTAGGAGAGACACTAAAGCTTTATTACTTTAATTATTTGACTGGGCCACTGACATGTAGAGGAAAGTTTAATTTCATTAATTCAAATGTAAAATTATGCTCCATTTTCATCACAAAATAAAGATTTAGACTGATCTGAAAACAGTTACCCCTTGACTTTTCTTCTGTATGGTTTCCAGTTTCTAGTGGTCTTTGAGTATCCTACTGTCAAAAATAAACGGAATTTGACAGTACTGAAGCAACAGGCATTCCTGTGACCACACTGGAACAGTCCCTGTCAGCCAAACAAGCTGTCAGCTTCTTATATTCATACTTCTAGTGAAGAAACTATTTTCAGGTTTCTTGATTGGAGTTATTTAATGTGTAAGTCTAAAAAGAACAAAGTTATCTATTTGATATCTCAAAATTCGTAACTCAACTCCTTCCCTGAAATCCTGTTGGCCAGGTGTCCCACTAAATGTATTCCACATAAATTAAAAATTAGAAAAGCAATAAACCAAGCAGCACTACATTTGCTGAGGATCTAAAACAATCTTACAAGACTCAGTTTCATTACTTCAGTTTGATTAGCTGTGCAATAACTTTAATACATGGGTTACTGTATTATTACTATTAGCTGAGAATACCAAATGGGTGAATTTATAGATAGAAAAATGCAGTAACAGACAAGTATACTGGCCAGCATCAGTTGCTTTTGTTGATGTCCTCCTCCATCCCGAAACAGCCACTTCCTGCAATACTTAACCAGTGAAACCACACTCAGAACCCTGTAACTGGATGACCTCTGCATTAGCAACGTAACTCTAAACACACTTAGACAATACTGAGAAAATTTAACAAATATATTAATGATTGGTTTTAAACAGTTTCCCAATGATCACTCATTCACAAGTTTTTTAAATAAAAATTTATTACAGAAATTACTTCGAGGAAAAAAAAAAAAAACCAAAACCAAACCAACAGTATCTGTTCTAATTAAAAAAAAACAAACCCAAAAGTAATATTGTATTCATGCCCTATAGGGTGAACTGAAGAAATGCTACAGGTATTTCTTTCTTTTGCTGTCATTCTGAGACTTCCTAGCATGGACTAACTCACATCTGCATCACAAGAATTAAGAATGAACACAGTCTCTCTCCATGCTGCAAGTGCTTCATATTAAAGTATTGCAGACAAATTCCAGTCCTGTTCATTCTGCAGTATTGGAACCAGTGTCTAGGAAAGAAAAACCAAAGTGTAAGTAATACATACATCCACTACAGTTGACTATAATTTAAAGAGAACTAATACTCACTCTCTAATACCTTCCCCCAGTTCAAAAGCACTGCCCAAGCATTTCAGGATGTGTTCTGTACCTACCCTGCTGCTATTGATGCAGTGCACAAGCTGCCTGAGCTCCTTCAGTTAGGAACGTTCAGTTAGCCAGCACAAAACTTCAAGGTTGCACACACACATCATTTGCTATTAAGGCATTAAAAATACAAGAAGCTCTACTCTGACTTGTAGTGATACACAAACAATCTTAGTTTGGAAGGCCACAAGGACATCAGGGTAAATCACACAACCTGTGAAAGATAAAGGGGTTTGCACATCCAGTAGCATAAGCTATGGAGTGTGGGTTATAGATTACACATCTTGAAATAGATGCAGGAATGGGCATGATCTTCATAAAATAAGTCAGAGCAATTCTCTGTTCTGAACTTTTGTCAGAAGCACCAATTAACACCAGTGGAACTGCTGGTATTACTATCATCACTGCTTTCTTGTTCTTAGAGCTATGGGAAAAATGCATGACACAGATATGGAGAAACACAAGTCAGTGTTTATGATGTTCCTTTAGCAAGTCAACTGCTTGTGGGGAAAAAAAGCTATAATGTTAACAGCAACTTTAAATCACCCCATTCTTTAAATCTGATTTGCATCCTTTATCAAGAGTGAAAACTGTTAATACTTGGAAAGTAAGGTTTCTTCTACTAGCTATAACAGGCACACAAAAAATAAACAGTTAAGATTATATGCTTGGCTAATACCAAAAGTTGAGCAAACAATGAATTCTGTCAATTCTTTACAACTATGACTTGTAGTCACGCCAGTACCAGGAAGTCATAAAGAATCTGTTTTAGAGGGCTAGAGTATATTTAAATAAAGCCCTTTCCATTCTCAGTTCTTCCTTTTCACATCACTCCCCAGTGGTGAAACAGGTAACACCATTTCCCACATCTTTAGCAATACTCTGCCACAGGCAGAGTTTTAAAAGTTGTAAACCAGCAGAAACACTGGCAAAGGTAATCCAGCCAAACAGATATGGGACATAAACTCCCATAAGCAGTGCAAATACAGTGGGTCTGTTGAGCAATATGTAAGTATTTTAGTATTACTTGCAAATGCCGGCATAAACTTATCATGTCCCCTATGATCAAATCTGGCAGACAATTGCTTAGTTTTCTCTGACAAGTGGTTACTCAGACTGAAGAGGCTTTCCTCAAATTCAGTAAAACATGGTGCTTTTCTCACAACCAGGTTAATACAAGAAAAATCTCCCTACAGAAATTCAATGAAGATTACTTATGACTTTCCAATTTTTCCAGTAGTTCATGCTTCCCAACACCAGGTCTACAGCAGTCTCTCAACACATTCCTGTTTCAGTGCTTATGAGTCAAGGAGCATTTAGCTTGTTTTTGCTGCATTTATCATATGTAAAAGGGAGTGCATAGCACTACTTTTGTCTGAATAATACAATCAACCTAGCTTTAATCAAACATTTGGTCAAAGCTTTCTATAAATGATCAAGTCTTGTGTGTCAGTTTATTTATATCATATTCCATACTTACTTTTTCCATCACATGCTACAATTTTCACTTTATCCACTTTTACAAGTTCAGTGACCTCCCTAAATTCAACGTCATTCAGCACAAATGTCCATACGTTGTCACAGAACCTGTATGTATTCAGAGACCCCTTTAAAAAGACAAGAGACATTTTCTGTAGGATGCATCCCAAAAGTAACAGGAAATACAATGTTTACTGAACCACATCCCTTTTACCATTAGGTTTGCCATAAAGCCAGCTATGAACCTGAACGCATGCAAACTCGGCAAGCAGCAATTCTGAGGAGAACTTCCCTCCAGTGGGTGAAATTCTCAAGACCATTATGGTCTTGAAATTCTCAAGACCATTCCAAGACCATTACAGTTTATCCAAGGGGAAGCTTCACAGCTATGTTAAAGAGTTTTGTAACTTTTCTAATGTGTGTAAAGGATCAGAATCAGGCACAGTTTCTTAAAACACTGGCCATAAGAAGAATCAGTTACAGCAGCAATCGTAACAAGATGTGAATTCTGCAACTGTTCAAATAAAGCCAGTTTAAAAAATCGTGACAGAACTGACCCATGTGACACAAGGGGTTATAAAAAAGTAGTGATGCTCTTTTTAACATATTTGTGTGGTTTAAATATCTAAAAATCTTAAGAGCTCACTTCATTGATGTATTCTGCATCAACTGCTGAGGACATAATTTAACAACTGGTTTGGGATTTTTCTTTAAAATTACAATCAAATTGACATTTTACAATGTGCTGGCTATCTGGCATTCATTAGGGTGGCTGGCTGATAAAAAAAACTTATTTTTCCTGATACCTACAGAAAATAGCTACAAAATGACCCATTGTCTTGTACAAGGGCAGATGTACAACCCTGTAGTCTCTCTGCATTACATATGTGGCCTCATCTCACTTCTGCTAGGTCTAAGAGAAGCAAGTCTCCCTTCCCACCTGCAAGACGCTAAGAATGGCAGGGCTACTCATCAAAGCACTTCCCTTTTCCCCTGTTTTCATCCACCCACCAAATCTCTCCATAGTCTTTGTGTTCATTTGAAAGATCAAATGCACAGTAAGAGAGTAACAAGCCTCACGACTGCATACAGAATAAACCTGTCAGCATTCACTATTTCAGAGTCAAAGCAGACCTGAACTTTTGCTTGGAGCACTCAGCTTTTAACAGCATTCTGCACCAAAGCTTGGTTACTCCACCCCATGAAGAACTTACATATAGCGTTACCTTACCCTGAAGTTGACCCTGTTCCTGACGCGCTGTGCCAGTGCCGAGTTGATAGCTTTATCAAACTGAAGTAGCACCTGAAGGGCCAGCTGAGGAGTGATCTGCTGGGACTGAAGTCATTGAAAAAAACAGGTTTGAGTTACTTTGAAGTAAACTCAAAAAAGCTGTAAAAACTCAAAACAAAGTTCCCATGCAGCAGATTGTAAGGGTGGTGAGGCACTTGAATGGGTTGCCCAAGGATGCTGGGAATTCTCCATCCCTGGCAGCATTCAAGGCCAGGCTGGAGCCTTGGGCAACACGGTTTAGTGTGAGGTGTCCCTGCCCATGGCAAGGGGGTTGGAACTGAATGATCTTCAGGTCCTTTCCAGCCCTAACTATTCTATGATTCTATGATCTCCAGAAGGACAATCAACACAAGAATAATTTTACTGCCTTTTCCCCGTTTTAAATCTGAGAAAAGGAATTAGGTGCCAACATGATTGTTGTGCTGCATAAAGAATACATCTGGTAAATATCAACTGAAACCAACCAGAGGTGCAGAACATCAGTCACAGTGTTCTGGATTAACCTGATGTTTGTTCACTGGGCATTGCAAGAAGAGGTTACACATCCTATGGAAAACATTTTCCTTCATATAGGATGTCAGAAAAAGGAATTATCAGGACAACTTGAGTACCAAAGGCTTTTGATTTCAATCAGGTTTTCCATCTGTTGGCTGTAGTGTACCCAATACAGAACCCACAAAGCTGCCTGAGTAATAAGCCTCTCTATTAAGCTGACTGCATACCCGGACCCCACACACACCTGTATGAGCTCGTCCAGGCTCTCCTGCAGACTGTTCCCCAGCGTGGTGTTCCTGTACAGCTGATAGGCCATGGCTTACTAGGGCGGCACAGGGCAGGCACCCTCCTCACCATCCACTGCTCTTGTGTGCTCGCTGTCATTTAAAACAAAACAAAACCAATACTACTAAAAAATCCCTCTAGAGACACCAGAGACCTAATTGTACATTGCACGGTGAGCACAAGCAGCACCGACATCGCTCCGCAAGCCCCCACTAACAACACGAGCGCTCAGAGCACAAAGCACAAACAACGAGCAGACCAAGAATGCGGCACACGGAGGGAGGAGGCCTTGTCCCTGCCGGGCCGACACCGAGAGACCTCTGCACCCACACGGACAGGCCGACACTGCCCGCCGCCCCTTCCCTCGGCCTCCGAGGAGCTCCTCGCCCCCCACGGCGCGCTCGGGAATCCTCACGGGAATTCCGGGCCACCACTGGGCACCGAGCGACCCCGGGCCGGCTGCCGCACCCCGGCCATAGCTATGTACCCCCGAACCCAGGCCGCCCCAGCGAACCCGACGGATGGCGCCGGCCGCCGCACAGCAGCCACGGGCAGCGCCACAGGACGGGGGCTCCCGCTCGGGGCAGCCGCTCAGCGGCCGCAGCCTCACCCGCTCCGAGCAGCCGAAGAGCATCAGCGCCTCCGCCGGCCCGTCACCCGGAAGCGGAACGGTGAGGGCGGGACGCAGGCTCGGCCCGTCCCCGGAAGCAGCGGCGGGAAGCGGGCCTCACTGAGCCCGTTGAACGCTGAGATCGTGCACAGCCGGTGAGGGTGAACAGCTTACACAGCTCGGTGTCTGCAGCGCCGGGGTGAGGCTCCTTCTACCTCTTCAGTGACTGAACCCCCTCCCATTTTCCTCTGCCAGGATACCCGAGCCTATTACAGCTGCCGAACACCTTCGAAATACTCCAAGATGCTTCAATTCCACCGCAGTAGTGAACTAGCACCGGCAGTGCTCTGGGAACCAAAGTCAGATGTTACGAAGAGGTAGGAGGTGGTGCTGTATGCACCAATGTATGACTAAGCAGCAAAATGAAACATTGAAAAGGTAGTTATCACATACAGGATTTATTTTGTTCCCTAAGTCAAAAGTTTTCTGTAAGTATTAACAGCTAGCACATTTAGAGATACATTCATGTTACACTGGGACACTCAGGAAGACAAACAAGCTCATTTAAAAATAAAGAATCATGACATTCTTGAGAGGTAGGCGAAGAGTCTTGTATTGACATAGTTTGATACTGAAGGGCAAAGGAAAATAGTTACATCTGTGAAGAATAGTCAGGTTCAGCCAGTTGTGTCATCTGTGATTCACAACCAATGTTTTTGCATGACTACTTCAACTTCAGGTTGTTCAACACAGCACATTGCCCGTATCACACACTGGAGTTTACCAACACCAACAATGTCCTAACCCTTCCATCTACCCTTCTATTGGCAGAGCACCCTGTATCACTGCTCAGGCTTTTTAAGTAGGTGGCTTTGGTCAGATGACTAAAACAGCATGCCTGCAGAGCCAGAGGGGAAGTAAGCATCTGTTTCATTTTGTAATTATTAACTTGGAATTCCATGTCAGAAATATTAACTAGCAGCTTAGCAAGCTACAGTAAAGAGCATGGTAAAATCAGAACCTGACTTTCTGAAAACACTCCAGTAGCTTCTCCTCAGATAATTTTCAATACTAAAATAAAAATCAATCAGTACATTTAAATCAGTGACCTGGGCAGTCCAAACTGCAAAATGGGAAAAATAAGTTTAGTTGATCAAAGAATGGCTTTAACTTCCCTGACCTCAGTCATGCTTGAAGACAAGAGTGAAAACCTGTAACACAACTGCACCCTCTTCACTCCAAATGCCCTTTTTTCCTGTTAGCTGGATACAGGAAGTGAGATATGATAAAGAACTTAAGAGTTTTGGTGCTAGGAAAGCTGCAAGATCTGTTTTCCAGATTATTTAAATATTACTTACATGTTAGAGTAAACCCAGCTATCCTTAAAAAGTATAAAGCACTGGTTTCATGCATCCGCAACAAAAAGCCCTCTAGAGAATGACCTGCATCCACAAGGCCTGAATAGGAATTTTCACCAAAATCTTTGTAAGACTGGTTAAAAAAGTGCACAACCTATCATCCCTCTCCCCTCTGTTCTTTGTATGAGACTCTTCTGAGAGTGACTGGAATGACTTGAGCATTAAAGTCCTCTCCAAAGACAAAGCTTTTGACAAGAGGTGCATTTAAGCCATCTTTCTACATAATAAATATGTATAAATCCCTAGGATACACAAATATTTGACAATGGAAGAAATATACTTTTCATGAAGAAAATTCTTTGCGACAGATTTAGTTGACGAAGTGCCCATTCACCATCTGTTCCCATTACTTCGAGTTACCTACAGACATTCGAGCAGATGACACCAGTTGAAGCTGACACAGTAGGCACCAATGCCATGCTGTCCTCCCTGTGACACACTGAGATAATTTCATAGAAGATTCCATTATCACCAACATGTAATCTAATCTTGAAATCTGACACAAATGAACAGTTGAAGGTTTTAAGCTGTCAAAGTGTACAATGCAAAAACCTTGCTGAAACATGCTAACAAGAACAGGCTATGTACTGCTAACTGCAATTCAGAACAGAACTGCTGTTTCTCAGCACAAAGTCCCTCACAGCAAGCAGTACTATTCTTCACTTGTTCACTGAAGATAAAAAAAAAAGCTAAGCTGCATAGTATGAACATTACATATTATTCTAACTAGTTCTAAGCTTTTTTTGAAACATAATTGTGCATTTTAACATTCCACAACCTCAAAGACTTCAATCTGCTTCAGCACTAAACCCTTACACATCCCTCTCCATTACTTCTCCACAGAGCATGGCTTTGCCATTCTGCACAGACCATCAAGAACATCCAAGCAATCTAGAGCCTACTCACATCCTGTTTTAATGACACCTTCTCCAAAATATCTTTGCCACTTCTGAAGATTTATCCCATTGTAGAAATCAATTTTCATAATTGTCACATCCATGCACAGGGAGGCCACTGCCCCAAATGTCTCTGTTTCAATTGCGCACAGTAGTAATGAAAGAAAACTACTGACTTAACACACGTCCATATAAACAAACCAAGGAGACCTCCAAATCACATTAGTGACTCATGAAATTCTTTTCTTGACAGGGCTCAAACTGTATTCTAGCAACATGAGTTTCACTTTTAGAAGGTGAATTAAAATTCACCATTAAAAGGTGAATTCCCTACAATACTGTTATCACAAAGTGATTCACGTTTAGAAATAACTTAAAGTATGACATTCCAACTTTTAATGGCTTTAAATATTAAAATATTAAGATTATTTTGTAGATTTAAAAAGACAAGCTTACACTAGGGAATATAAACCATTCAGTGAGTGCATACACATTTCCAAAAGAAACAGTACTACTGCAGCATGTAACTGCAGAATAACTCAGACACTAGAAAAGGCAATAACCCCTAATTTGATAGGGCAGCCTATAGAGAGGACTGGCTACTACATACTGCACTATACACATTGGAAGCAACAGGACATAGGAGAACAACAGCCCATGCACTAAGAACATGGCTTTACTGAGAATACTACTCTTTTATTTGACAAATTGGAACCGAGATGATGAGAATGCTTAGTATCTCGCTTCAGACCCACACAGAACCAATAGAGATCAGGAAGGTTTATACGTTTGCATTTTCACGCACTGCATTGTGAAGGTATCAGAAGTAAACAAGCTGTAAGTGTCCAGTTTACTGACTGGAACCTGGGCCAACATCACAACTGAAGCAGGAAATAAGACAGCCCCAAAGACACTGTTTGCATCTGTGTTCTGCTTTCAGAGCAAGACCTGGACCTAATCTAATGGATGCAAGCTAACTGGAAATTAGCATGGCCTGTTGAAAGAGAACAGCCTGCATGGTAATCTCTTTGAAATTAAGATACAGAAACTATCATAATAAGAGAACCTAAATCTTGAGATGAAAGTCTCAGAGTTGCAAACTTAACTCCCGGATACATGGGCAATTTGCCCTCATCTGACATGAAAATATTCTCTCAGAGTCTATACATGTATCATTAGAGACAGTAGATTAATTGGTAATAAGTCTTGACCATGGAACTCTCTCTTTTATCAGTGTCAGGAAGTAATCTGCTTGAACATAACCTTATATTTTTAAATAAGAGAACTAGCTTTTAATGGAATTGAGAACTGATATTTTCAGCATTAAGACAAAATTGTTAGCACAATAAAAACCAAAAGTGAAGATTTAATATATCTGCTATGATATTCTATTGCTCAGCTCCTGAATCGGTATTTGCATAGATCTGTCCTTACAGGGAAATAGCAGTGATTATTAAAAGACGATACAAACTTTTGCAACATATTAACTAGTGCATCCTTGTTGCCCTGATAAACCTATGAACACTAGTTATGAATCCAAGAACACCTCTTACAGATGCAAGGTCAACACCATTGTGAGGAAAAAAAAAAAACCAACCCAATAAATTTCACTTAATTGCTTCAAGTGAAATCAGTGCTGTCTCATGTGCCAATCTAAGAGCTTTAGAAATTGAGGCTTCATCCACAAGGATGACCAGTGTCATGGTTTAAAACCAGCCAGCATCCCAGAAACACGCAGCTGCTCACTCCCTCCCTCCTTCTTTCACCCCCACTCCGAGAAGGATGGGGAGAATCCAAAGAATGGGAATCCCACAGGTTGAGATAAGAACAATCCAGTAACTAAAGTATAATACAAGACTACTACTGCTACCACCAATAATAATAATAATGGAAATAACAAGGGAAGAGAGTATGAAACTAAAAGGGGAAAAGGAAAACAACAATAAGTGATGGACAGTGCAATTGCTCACCACCCGCCAACCAATACCCAGCCCAACACAAGCAGTGATCTGGGCCTTCCAGGTGACACCCCCAACCCCCTCCCCCCCCCAGTTTATATACTCGGCATGATGTGCTGCACTACAGAATACCCCTTTGGCTACTTCAGGTCAGGTGTCCTGTCTCTGTTTCCTCCCAGCGTTCCATGCCCCTCCTCACTGGTAGAATATGAGACTGAAAAGTCCTTGATCAGAGTAAATATTACTAAGCAACAAGTAAAACCGTTGGTGTGTTAGCAGTGTTGTTCTCACACTAAAGTGAAAACACAGCACTGCAGAAGTTACCAAGAAGGAGAAAAATAACTGTTACAGCTGCACGCAGGTCACAGAGGTAGCAAAAGATACCCCATATCCCTGCAAACTGCTATTACGGCTAGCATATCTGTGTCACTCCGAAGGTCTACTGAGCACTACCAGAGTTATGCTGATGACAACCAATATTCACACAGGAAAGACCGTAATGAACCCATTTCCTGCTGGTACCTGGGACAACTTTCATTTACTAACACAGAACCTAAATTTGCAACTTAAAATTGAGAAAGGCTGATACCTTGCCAGTCACTCAAAACGGTTCAGCTGCTGTTGTGGCTTCTGCTTAAAGTCTTTGGCCAACAGGCTGAAGTGCACAGAACTGCTGTTCTGCATCTGGAACAGCAGATTAAGACACCAAATTCAAATGAGTACTGCTTGTAGTAGGGCTGTGAACAAAAACACACATCTCCACTCTTGTGAAACACAACATTATGTGATTGTTAATAGTCAAACAAATTAAGGGTTTTGTGACAACCAAGAAATGCACTTGACCATTTACAGCAAAACAGATTTATACAATAACAACAAGTAACTTATGGCCTTGTCTACCTGCAAATGAATTCCTTCAGCAGGTACGCATAATATATTGCTCAGTCATAAAAATATATATATATTATCTCTTTAACATTTAGGTATATAAATATCTTACTGAAGAACATGCATCATTTAGATAAACAATTGCAAGAACATCCTCTGAAGACACAGGGTTCTTTGATATTTAGCAGTATAAAATGAATATATAAACACAGCTATTGAAGTCAAGACAGATCAATACAGCAGCAAGCAGTCCGTTGTGTGCCAGTCCAAAGGAATTAAGCACCCTTTGCAACATGTTATATTACATACACACACAGAGAATGCATTGTAAATGGAGCAAAGATAGCATCATTCCATCTGCATATTCTTCAGTCTTAGCTGGACTCCAAACTTACTGGTCACTCTTCTGCTCTTGTTTTCCATTCAGCTCTTGGTCAACTCTGCTTATCAAAGAAAGCAGTGAAATTGAAACTATGTTAGTAAATAGTTTAGTTTGACTGCTGATATATTAAGCAAAATTATTCCTCTTAAGAGGAAAACACAAAGCTTTTACATGGAAAAAGTTAATAAATAAATACAAAGATTTTTATTGAATAAAGTCACAACAGTGTTGAGGGTTTTTTTAATCTATTTTCCTACCTCCCCTTAGAAATCTATTAAAATTGTTGAGAAACCAGTTAAATAATAAACAAATAAATAAGACAAATGGCATTTGAAAAGTGCAAGTTAAGTTTGTGGAAAAAAACAACCCAGACTGACTGTATTAATGAATACAACCAGGAATACAGGATCACAGGTAAAATGACAACACTGCAAGCACCACTGATGTGATGAATAAGCACAGAATAACCTTTAATGCTACAGTAATCAAGCCAAGAAGGTAACAGCACTAGTTCAATCAAAAAAGGTCAGGTGGCTCCTTAAGTGCAATACTTTTTCTATTACATTCTAAGACTCCTGTAATCATCCAGGGAAAAAATAAAAATCACCATCATGCTGCTGCAGCTGTTGGGTTTTCTGCTTTTGTTTGTGCCCTCCCTTTTTTGTTTTTTTAAATACACCTGTATCTGCCTTGGGACTAGCAAACAAAATGTTGCTTTGCAGAAAGCAGTGGATGGTTGACAGGCCACACAAGATGTACTTTTCCTCTTTACATGAAGAAGCAGTGGCTCATCTTAACTACATCTTCTGGAAAATAAGCCGTGTGTGGAGTTAAGTTACTTTTAAAACCAATAGCATTTCTAAGTGAGAGAGTCCAAGGCCAAGCCTGTCTTCCAGCAGCCTGTCTAACCTATGTGTCCAGTCTTTCAAACTGTAACTAGTAGTTTTTCCAGGTGATTCAAACAAGGACAGCTCTTCCATGACATGAACCCATAACAAGGAGAGACAGGATTCCGGGCTTTTTCTGGTTTTGCAACTGTAAAACTCAACTCTGTACACAAGGATCCAGTGGGTCTGGAGCAGTGTTGTCTAAAAACAACAGTCCTCATCAAATACATGGTTCACCTGCACAGTATGCAGCTACAACTCACCCCTGTCCTCATTGCAGTACCTTAGAAAAGCATGTTTTCACATGACCTACAGGGCTAATCACACAAAATGTATGAAACTGTGGTGAGCTAATGCAAACAAGCTTTACCTAAGCATACAGCTGACAGTATAAATCCATAGAGGTATATCATACCCTAGCTTCCAGAGTGATTCATAGACATAGCCAGAGAATTCCTACTGCCATCCTCAACAACTATAGTAATTAAACTTCAACATACCTCCTTTCCCCCTTTTGTAATAAATAATGTCCTACAACTGCTATCAAGGTGACTGCCAGCCACAGTTTGATACTGAGATTTCAATCTCTATATTTAAGTGTCACTTAGGAACATACTAGTGATGGTAGTATAAGTGATGGTATCAACAGGAACACTAAAGAGTGCTCATTGTACTGGAAATTTTTAGAAGTGTTTACACATTACTGTTTGAATGTCTCAAGTATGCATCCTGAATACAGTGGGCCTTGCAACAAAATTGGGCATATAAAACTGAACAAAGTTCTGCTTAATATGTACTGAAAGGGTTTCTTAAATTTGACAGTGTTAGTACTTCAGGTTGAACTGGAATAATTCCTAGAACGTTCAACACTTGTCACTACTTTACCTGCTAGCTGTTGGAAACAATTTCATTTCATTTTAATCTCTGTGTTCCTCTCTCTGTCTGTTACCCAATTTAAACAATAAGCCTCCTTCAGTAGTTATGCACTCAGGAAGAATAATAAAAAAAGCTAAGTTAGTAGCAAAACCTCTCAGTACATTTGTTAGTGAGAGTGAAAAATGGATCCATTGCAAAAACCTCAGCAGCTGCTGAAATAGCTTGAACAGTTAGCAGGAGATTGAAAGTTAACAAAATGAAAATCCAGTGTTTATTAGCAAGGAACATAGGCACTGCAAATACAAACAGCACTAAACACTACTGACTTGAACTGCATCTGTGCAAGTTAATAACTAAAAAAAGTAGTGAATACCAAAAATACAAAATACGAGATTCAAAACAAGAACTTCTTCCAGAGTTGCATGTCTGTTGATACAGAGCCACAGCTCAGCACCTAAAACCAGCTCTTCCTTCAGGCATCACTTCTTGTAAGAAACAGTTAAACTTAATAGATTCATACAGAAGCACTACTTTTGCCTCTTGAAGATTCAGTTGAGAATCCATGTAATCCTCTTAAAAAGTGAGCATCTCACGTAATAGAGACTATTCACAAATATCTGTTTGAATATCCAGGGTGAGTTCTTTTAGATGACAGACTGCACAGGCACTATAATTACTCTAATGCATAAAAACTTGGTCACTAGTGCATGTTTATATTTACAAATGCTTATTCCTTCATGCAAGCCAATCAACTGGGAGTTAGTTGCAGTGCAAATCATCTTATCTAGATGCAACCCTAATCAAAATATGAATATACCTTTTCTGTTTCTTTCTAAACTTTTCTTCTTCATACCTTGGTGAAGAAAAGTTTGATTTCAGTAAACGTAACATATGAAGGCCAAATTCAACAGAAGCTGCAAACTGGTGTTACTGTCAATACAGTTTGCAGAAACATACCAAGTTTTGAAACTGATATAGTTAAAAATATATGTAGTACCTCCACCATTTTTAACCATAAATCAAGAAGCATTACAATTTAATGACATTTAAATTCAATACAACTTCTTGCACAGTATTAACATTCACTGCTAAAATTTAAAGTCTATATTCAGAACAGTTTGAAGGCAGATATATTCCTCTACAGAAGTCTGAGAATTAACTCCACAAGTTAACCAAGTTCAGACTTTGCAGAACAGTTAAAGATTCATCAACACAGAAAGGAGTATTTCAAGACTTGGAATGACAGTCTGAATTTTCATAAGATATCCCTCAAAAGCCCCAGTAGGAGAAGTATCCCAAAGCTAGCAAAAGGCTGCTTCAGCATTGTCATGTCCTTCCTCCCAGCCCTGAGAAAACTGCATTTTCTCTATCTTATGAAAAGTTAAATTGTGCAACTGACATCAGGTGTGTACTGCAATAACCAGACATTTGAAGGGGTGCAGTGGGGATCTGTCCAACATGGATGTGCCCTTCTGTCCAGATAGTGAGACTATGCCATTGTTCCATATGGAGTTCCCAGTTTGTGATCACCTATTGCGATACATACTCTAGCAGTTTTGTACATTACAGCCTCTAACAGGCCAATCAATTCATAATCACAATTGTCAGTAGTTTCATCTGTTTTTTTTTAATACTCAGGTTTATGGTTTCTACTCTATTACTGCACCCACAAATGCTGCTGACAAATGTCGTATTTGAGAGAGGAGTCCCACTGATGTTAAAATGGCTATTTTTACTTGGAGGGAAGGAAAAGGAGAAACCAAGGACATTGATGCTGCCTTCACATCTTTGACACCATAATTTTAGAACTCTTTATTTGGTAGGGATTTAGCATTTTTCCACAGCTCTTTTTTTAAATGACATCCCAACCCAAATGATATTTCACCGTTTGTTCCACATTTTAGCATGAACACTGCAGATACTATAACTTCAGTATCAACATGCCCAGAATCTCTCACTCACCAGCCAGTTTAGTATAATGAGGTGAATGGAATGGGGCCTTGGTTCTAGAAGACTTAATTCACACAACATAACTTGGTATTTAGGTAAGGCACTATCTGTGAAAATCCCTATGCATTATCACACCAAACTGCAGTTAGCAATGTGGTCAAACACGGATACTCCTCCTAAAGCTAGCAACGATTGGAGTTAAATTATTAAATGCAAAGTATTACATTCAAACCCATCAGAGATTACAATATATACCAGTTCTAAAACATGATCAGTGTAGAAAATGTTGGAATAATAAAACATACTGTTTTATGCATTCTGGGATGCCAACGTATTCCATGGGGATGAGTTCAGCTAGTTCCGCCAGGGTAAAGACATACCTAATCTTTTGGCTGAATTTTGAGCTGTGGAAGAACAAATGTAGGCTACAGTTACAACTTAGTATTGACCTACTGCAAAAATTAAAACAGTTTTTGAAGTTTAAAGTAAATGGTAATTAGGATTTTTTTTAACAGCTTCCAGATTATTACCTAATAAAGGGTTTTGTGACGGCCAGAAGTGTTCTGATGAACCAAGAAGGATGAACTATGATTAATGATTTCAGATTTTTCCTTAACCTGAAGAATTCAAACAGCAGACATAATTACTAGCACAAAAAAGCAACAGGAGAACAAGGCGATTTTCAATATATAAAAACTATGTTTTCACAAGCAAAACTATCACATCAGTCTCATACTCTGACACTCCATTATTAGAAGTTAGTTATCATCTGCAGAAATAAAAACCAGGCAGAGCTGCATAATGAAAATGTAAGATATAGAGTGAGTTTGACAATAATGACAAGGAATTAATATGTCAAAGAGAAGTTTCTTTGAATCTTTCTACCTAACTAATGATGTTGTTCATGAAAGACCCCCATTATTAACCTTCTCATATTAATATGTGAAGTTTTAACGATCTTCTACCTGGTAACAGTATTTTGTCTTTTCACACTACTATTTTCACTAGAAACCAACAAAAAGCCAGGCATGCCTGTAGCATTGTTCCATGCTGTCTAGCTTAGGAAGAGGTTTTCAATACACCAAGTAATTTGTATGATTAAATCATACCTAGAAGGTACCGGACACCACAGTAAACAGCAGTTGTCTTAAGGATGGAGATCACTGATCATGTGAATATAGTAACAAGATACTGCAGAGCTTCTTACCTTCTATCAATTTGCTGGTAACATTTCCTGAGCCAGCCTAAACTTGGCATTTTTCTCCGTGTTGTTGCACCATTCAGATAAACTATCATATAGTTCTCTGCTACCAACAGTTCTAAAGTGCCAATTACATACCTACACAGACAAGCACAGAAAACTTCCAAGTGAGATCTGTGAATATTAAAGTAATTGCTAGTAGTGCTCAAATAAATAAATAAATAAAAATATAGAAAGAGTTGTCAACAGTGTTGAGCAACATCTAGTAACTTCCCCCCCCCTTTCCCCTGGAAGCAGATGGAGTTGCTTCTCTATTTGTTATCTTTCCCTCACCTGAAACATAAAAAACTTCATTTAAAAAACTATTTCCCTTGCATTAAAATGTTAAATTTCACATTGTAAAATTAAGTATTGAGATGCAGATGATGACTTACTTAAATAGATTGTCCATTAGGTATCTATAGTTTGGCTGGCTGCTTTCAGGCATAAAGCAAACAGCAAACACAACAATGGCATTTAACCCATCACCATAGTAGCCTAAAACCAAAGAAAAAAACAGTAGTAGTGACCAAGGTGACTGCACACTGATTACATTTTCACCAAGCCAAGAACATTCAGTAAGTTTTTCATTATTTACCTTAAAGAGAGCTAAAAGCATCTATTCTATATGAAGGGATTCGTACAGGGACAGAAGATTTCAAGTTCGTCTACTTCTAAAGAAACAGGCAAAGCTGACATAGATCAAATGCTGATTCAACATCTCAGTGGAGAATCTCAGTATATTTAATAACATTTGATAACATTTTTATTTAGTCAAATTTTCTTCCAACCTAAACTCCACAGACTGTTCAGAAAAGTCATTAAATTGATTTATGCCTTAGTAGATCTACAGTTAATGCCTCAAACACTCTTTAAACAAAAATATCTTAAAATTCAAAAAACTCTTAAGAAAATTCTACAGGTAGCACTGACACTGTAGAACAGGTAAGTACATCTTACTGCATAGGTGCATGTTAATACTTTCATCTGAACATGCATGCATTTTGGAACTTGAATTTAAGAGGGGAAAAAAAATTGGATTAAATCAACCATGTGTCTTAATACTGCAACAAATGAATCATTACTTGAGCCTTTATGCCCAAAGCTATTCCTGTGCCACCCCAACTCAGCTTAAAGAAGTAGTTCCTCAAGAGTTCCTTCTCAGCACATCACAAATCCTTACCACCATGACTGATAACTTTTTTGTATGGTTCAATTGCCTTCATGTCCACCCTGTGGTCCTGTTCACCAATCCTAAACATTCGCCAGCGTCGACCATCATCTTTCTCCTCTGCCGCAGCATATTCAGTAAGTGATCCTTTCCTAATGACATCAGTAGTTTTTGGTTTTGGAAGATCATCTGCCAAAGTTAACACACGTTCAAGATCCATTATGAATACTTATGTACAGTGACAATCAATTACAACATGGGTTAACCACTTTGCTATCTATTTTAATATTCTCTAGCCAGTCAGACATAACAGCTGACTTAGTTCCCTCAGTCATTGCAGAATAGGATCTGATGGGTGTCATCTATAGTTTATCAAAATACTCCACGTTGGCAGTTATCCATCAACTGTAATTTTCATGTTAAAGTACATGACAAATCTCCATTTGTTTAAGAAGCCTATTTAATTGTAAGCTTTCAGAACACAGACCTTGATGAATCTCACCAAAATTAGCAAAGTGGTTAACTCCACTGATAATTACACAGGTTGCCTGATCAGAGATTTACATAAAAGCATGATTTAAAACATTGAGCACCTTGCAAGCAGACATGCAACCAAATTATTAGGAATTAAATCTAATTCACATGCGTGCAATCAATATATATCTGAAATTTATGTTGACAGCGATCTGTAAGACAATTTGCTCCAATTAAATAAGATTCTTGACTTTGTTGCACAGACCTTACCCAAAGCGAGAAAAACCTACTGCAAGTTAGTTGTCTGTTCCCAAGACAAAGCTGTTAATTGAAACTATCCTTCCAGGAAAATGAAGGCAGCAGCATTAAAGGAAGAAAAGACAGAAACCCTTTTCAGCCACTTTAAAAAACAAGACACAAACATTTGGCACATTTCCTTCACATCATCGCAAAACTAACCCTACTTCTTCACTACAATGAAGAGAACCCTTCTACATAAGTAAACCTGCAGTCTGTTATGAAAAGTTCCCTTGCAACAAGTTTTTAGCTATTTAAAAAACCCCCACCCCACTTATTCTAAAGAGCGTTTCTTTTATAAGCTATCTTGGAATGAAGAACAGGCAATGTTTAATTTAGACCACTGAAAAGAGCTTCCTGTTTACTCAGGAATTAAAACTGTTTTATTTCCAGAATGAAAAAGAAAAAAAAAAAAAAAGAAATAACTGAGTTAACATAATTATTCAGTAAGAGACATTCTTAAGTCATGAAGTCTGCAGAAGTTAAAGACTCCAACTGCTGACCAACACAACAGTTCCTGGCTTATATAAAAGGGCCCTAAAACAAAATTAAACTGCAAGTTTAAAACTTATGCTTTAACTTCTTGTTGTGATTTAAGCAACTCAGCACCACATAGCCATTTGCTAACTCCCCCACCTTCCCACTCCAGGTGGGATGGGGAGGAGAATTAAAAGAATGTAAACCCCACAGGTTTAGTTTAATAACTAAAGTACAATATATTACTACTACTGCTACTAATAATAACACAGAAATAACAAGGGGAGAGAATATAAAACTAACAATGAAAGGGGAAAAAAAAACAAACAATAAACACAAGATGCACAATACAATTGCTCACCACCTGCTGACTGATACTCAGACCAACCCAAGCAGCCATCTGCCCTTCTGTGTGACTCCCCTGTTTATACATGCTGTGGTATGGAATACCCCTTTGGCTTGGGTATTTGGTTTGGGTCAGGTGTCCTATCTCTGCTTTCTCCTGGATTCTTGTGCCCCTCCTCTCTGGCAGAGCATGAGAGACTGAAAAGTCCTTGATCAGGATAAGCATTACTTAACAACAACTAAAACATCAGTGTGTTATCAGCACTGCTCTCAGACTATTGCTGCAACACAGCACAGCACCAGGAGGAAAAAAAGATAAATAATTGTTACAGCTGAACCCAGCACACTCCTACGCAGAACTCTTCACCTCAAATTTGTCAGAAACCCCAGGTTTTGCCGATACGAATGAGGCATCTATTCATTTCTTAAAATGAGTATCATTACTAGTGTGGCTACAGCTAACACACTATCAAGTAATTTCAGAATTCCATGACACAAAATAGAGGCTCTTTTACCACTTCCAGTCAATCCAGAAAGCATGCAACCTGTAAGGCTACTGAGCATTTGCCATTCTCATCACAGTAAGACGTAACATCAGGCGTTACTGAGTATTTTAAGAAATACCATTCAGCCCTCCTCAAACACAATGGCTTGCATTTTCATTGATTTCTGACTAACTAATCTATACGGTTCATCTCCACTTAAAAGCATCTGCAGTACACATAACACACACTGGATTCCTCCCCCCCAGGTTGGTTCTTAAAAACACACTGCAAGAGAGAGGAACCTGGACTCTTACAGGTGTTTAATGACCTTCACCTGAGTTAGTTTTTCTGTTGCCTGCTTCTAATCAATCAAGGTCTTTAAAAATTCACTACACCTGTTTCCAATTTACAAGCTAATAACTCCCTTTATATTTTTCTGCTTGTAATATTGCTCATGGTTATGTCCCACCTGAAATAGTGTTGACCTGGACATAAGAAAACAGAAATATTTCAGAGCCTCAGACAAAAGTAACAGAATACTTACCTTCCCATTCAAACTCATTGCTATTTTCTGAAGGAGTATCTAAATTGTCCAAATCGATTTCTCCACTCTCATCCAAGTCATCAGACAAAACAGACTCCTCACTGTGATCCAAAGTTAAGTTAATATCTGGAGCCGTCAGTTTCTTCCTCACTTTGGTTCCATTGGCCTCTGTATTAAAAAAAAAAAAAGAAATTATTTAACTTCAAAGCTAAAGGAAGTTGAGCTAAGCATATTAACAAGACAGAAGAGCCCAGTGCTTTGTCATAATGTATTGTAAGACCCATAATTTAAACAACCTATCTTTGGAATAAGAGTTAAACACAGGGTGAAAAGAACAGCACTTCAAGGTCAGAGTTCTCAAGACTGTAAGCTTACACAACTGCATACACAATGTGATTACAGTGGTAGACCACCACACTCCCTACAGAAGAAAAGCCTCAAAAGTCTTGCAAATAAAGCAATAGGTTCATGTCCTTAGCATCATAACCATATTTGATGAAATAAAAAAGAATACACAAGATAAAAATAAAAGAATAAAAAAAGGCTGACAACAGCAAAAACAGAAAATGAAAGAAACTATTAGGTGAAATACACAGTATGCTTTGAGACACAAGGCAAATATTTGTGTGACTTAGACAGCAGCTGAAAGCAGGAAATAAAATGACTGATCCAGAACTGGAAATGCCACAACTAAAGCAGACAAACAAGATTAAAAAAAATTAAAACATTAAAAAAACCATCTGCAGGATTTCCCTCCTGCCCATTCAGGCAACATTCTTAAAAGGCTGCAGAGATCTGAAATCTGGAGTGAAATTAAAGCAGGTCCTAACTGATACACGGAAGCCAAGAGAACCCAGGTTTTAAGATGGGTCTGGAAGTGCAGTAATTCATTTTTGTCCAGTATTACATAGACAGCTCTGTTCACAGGGAGGATGAACAGTCTCATTTTATTCCAAACCCCTCTTTTTTCTAGACCATATGTTTATGCTACCCTTTATACACAAAACGCCATTCAGAACGCTGCTTCCTCAAGCCTGACCAAAAAAAAACCCAAACAAAAAAACACACACACAAAAAAAAAACCAAAACCCACGCCACCAAAAAAACCCAAACAAAAATCCACCCACCACTCAAAATAACCACCCAGAACCACCCACACCAAAAAAGAGCTTTAACAGAGCTATATAAGTAGGAAGCCATCAGCTTGACTGGAGTGGAATATTCTCACCAGCTTCACTTTCAGTTCCAGTGGCAGCCAATAGATCTGACTCCACAGGATCATCCTCTGGCAGAGGCCTGGTGCACAAAGTGGAAACTGTTGTTACAAAACTTGTTTTCTTTTTTAAATATCCAGCTAAATGCCAATTATTTAGACTTACACACAGGTTATTACTGAACTTAATTTACTTACAGCCAAAGTTCAAGCTTTCACTAAACAAAGCACCCAAGTCACTGAAAATTCCTTTAGAGTATTCAAGCAAACATCTGTTGATGTAATAAGTGCCAAAATACTGGTTCCTACTAGTGTCATCCTTAAGGAAACTTGTCACATTCTTGCTTGAGAACATTTTGACATGAAATACATTACAAAAGTAGTTCAGTTGTGTTATTATGGAATACCTCTGATGTAAGTTGGTTTAGTTTGTTTGTAAGCCTGAACATTACTAGCCCTCTCTAACTGTTATTAATTTTGCTCAGAAATGTTGCTTAATGAAACATTTGGGCCTTTAAACTCGCATAATAATATGCAAACAACGTAGTTACAGAAGATCACCACAGAGGACAAAGCCAAGCTTGCAGATTTTCACTTTAGTAACACTGGCAACTTCAACAGGGTCATTCCTGTATTACTTAGCAGAAGTAAGGGTTCCCTCTTCCAGAGCACAGAGCTTTTGAAAAATACTATGTTAATGGACATCACTTCAAGATTATTATTGAGTGGTAGTTCCCATGGAAGATAAAGAGGCAGCTTATTCTGGATGTTACGCATTTGATTTAAATTACTTAAAAAAAAATTAAAACCTTGGAAAATCTTCATCTTGCCATTCTTCCTTAAACTCAACACCTTCCATTCTCCAGCCAACTTGAATTGTTAATAGAGACTCCTTATGTGCCAGAACCTCTTGCCTTCAGGACAGTAGGCTAAAGAGGAGCTGCAGGAACATAAAAGAAGATGGTAGTTCAATACTATTTTAAGTCCCACACTTGCAGCACATCCTTTTACTTAGACTAAGTTATGATACTATGCAGTGGGGACAGGAGGAAACAGGGAAAAGTTTATTGTTTGTTTCTATTTATACTTTTTTCCTCATACAGAACTGCTTATGGAGTGGTTTATCATACAGTGATTTAGGTTGAAAGGGATCTCATACAGCAATGCCCTGCTGAAGCAGGAACAATCTTTCAGTTGAAGGCCCAAAGCAACCTGATCTATCATTTAGGATAGTTCCAATTCACTCCAAACTTTAAGGAACTTGACAGCTCTCCAGATTCTATAGGAAATACTAAGTGTATGTTTTAATAACAACCACCCAGATGGTCAGATCTAAAATACAACCAAGTTCTAACCCCCTACTCCCCACAAAAAGAGCAAGCAAAAAAAACCAACCAACCAAACAACCCACCACACCAACCCCAAAACCTCTACAGATAACTATTTCAGAAAGCAATCTCACCCTGTGATGTGCAAGTCAAGCTGTGCTTTTTCACGCTCACCCATCACCAGCAATAAGAAATCCCCAATAATGGAACATAATAAACCATTCTGCTGATACGCAAGTCCAAGCTCTTGGCTGTGCTGGCTCTAAAGATTAGCAGGAACAGGTACACTTATCAATGAGGATGTTAACAAAACCAAAACCAATCAAAACAGGAAGCTACTTTTGAAAGCAGAGAAACAATGAACAGAGAAAACAAGTCTGAATGCAATCATACTGCTGATTAAGACATTCATTTTTTTACATGCCCAAAAAGAAGCAAGATACACTTACTATTCTGTAGGATCACCTTTCACAACAAATCTCCGTTTCTCTTCTCATGACCTGATTACAGCCACAGACTAATTTTAAAGTGTCCTGCAATGCTCACAGCTACGCTGTACGAGCTTATTAGTTAAAAGCAAACAAACCTAAGAGACTGGGTTTTGTAAAACTGCAGTACCAGAGACAAAAATGTAAGCTTATTTACTGGCATTTGCTGCTTCCCTCACCAAGAGAACTGAAATTACTTTTGTAGGAGGCAGCAGCCTAGTTCCTCTTCAGGGTCAGACTGTCCTGGTTTGAATCACTTGGCCCCCGCACCACTCAGGTGCTGACAGCATGTGCCTGTGCACACAACCTCCAACAAGCTGCCCCCAAGAATTGTCCTCCCAGCTCTCCCTCGTTCTGTTTGTTCTTTTTGACTAATACACTGTTTGAAGCAGCTCCTTGCTGCTTGAATCATACTACTTTCCTCCTGAAACATGCCGTCTCTTTCATTAACATGATGATATCCACAGCATGCAGCTTCTCCTGGGTACAAACCTGCTGAGTGTTTGCAACAACGAATTTTAAATATTTGCTTCATTTGAGATCAAATCCAATATTAGAGATGAAGTTTTGATCAGTAACAGAAGTGGATATGTGCATAGTTCTTTGTGCATGTTTCAGACACTGAGACGAAGCATGAGAGCTTTCCTTGGAAGAGATCATCTGAAGCAAACATGCAGCTGACTGTAAATGAAAAGACACTAAATCTAAATGAAAATCTGAACTGGTAACTTCATTCTTACGGGACAGGTGCAGAACTGAAAAAAACCAACAGAAAAAAAAACAACACAGAACAACAAAACCAAAAATCAACACCACAAACCAACCCTATCACTGTGCTTGTGGCTTTAAGATGCTACTCAAGCTTGCCTGCACTTCACAATACAGCTTAAAGTAGGGTTTTACTCCAAGACTTGAAGAGTACCCTTCCTTTGTAAGGTTTAAATAGGTGTACGAGTTAACCAAAAATAACCAGTTACTACACAGCGTATTCCATTAGTAGCTGGAAATAAGGAAAGCAATCCTTAACCTCCGCGGCACGGTTCTACGCTGCGCATTTACTAAACCTACATGGAAAAAAAACAGGCCCCCGCACCCGCTCGTTCCTCAGCCGCGGAAGAGAAACGGGGTTCGTGCTGGCCGGGGGCGCGCCCGCGGGGTCAGGGGCGGGTACCCTCAAGTCCGGCGTGCCCGGGACTGCTCACAGCGCTGCAGTGCCCTAAGGAGCCAGCCGCGGCGGCGGCCCCTGCTCACCCCCCGGGAGCGGCTCTTCGGTTCGACACCCTGACAGGGCTCCCGGATCAACCCCGCGGCGCACCAGCGGCCGGACAGGCCGCGGCCCCGCCCTGCACCCGCCCCGCCAGGCCGCGGCTCGCAGCCTCCGTCTCGCTGTCCCCAGCCCGCCGCGGCCGTACCTAGCTCTCGGGGTGCGTGAGGGAACGGGCCGGACCCGGCCTTACCCCCACCGCGGCGCAACGGGACCTCCGCGCCGCGCACCCCCACTCACCCGGAAGTGCACACAGCACCGGACTCACGTGACAGCGCTCTCCACAAGGGGCTGACATACTCCGGTGCATGCGCAGAAATAACACCGCTGCCGCCCGGCCTCGGCAGAGTGCGCGTGCGCGTGCGCACTGCGTCCCTCTCGCGACGCGCTGAGGGGAGGCGGCGATCGGTGGTGCCGTGAGGGGCGCGGCGCGGAATCATCGCTTCTCCTGCTCCCTCTGCCAGCCGGGTCGGGGTGGCTGCTCCGCGGGAGCGTAACCGAGAGCCCTCGGTAGCGGTAAACGGGCCGCGGAACAGAAACCGTGAGGTAGAGTGGTTGAGTTCAGTGTGCTGTGCCCGGGGCTCGGGAACGGGCGAGAGGGGAGTCAGAACCCAGAGCGGGACCTGGTGAGCAGGTAACACCCGTGTGGCAGGCCGGTGGGGCACAGTGCCGAGCACAACATCCGAACCTCCACAGCGTTTGAGCCTACAGCTTGAGGTTTACAAATACGGCGTCCAGCATACAGCCTTCCCTCGTGGTACAGTGCGCATACTGCCCTCACTCACGGCATATTATGTATGATAGAAGCATGAGGAGTTAGATAAATCTCATTTTCGTCTTTTTTTTTTTTCATACTTAAGGATGAATCATAGAATGTGGAAATGGTTTGGGTTAGAAGAAAGACACCTTCCACTAGGCCAGGTTGCCCCAAGCCCCTGTGTCCAACCTGGCCTTGAACACTGCCAGGGATGGGGTAGCCACAGCTTCTGTGGGCACCCTGTGCCAGCGCCTCAGCACCCTCACAGGGAAGAACTGACTGAGATCTCACCTCAGTCTCTCCTCCATCAGCTTAAAACCATATCCCCTTGTCCTGTCACCACACGGTGATAGTAGTGGGAGTTGCTATGAGGAGGAGATCCAAGATGGCAGAAAAGTTTTGGCTAAGGTATGAAACTTGCCACTAACATGTCATTATAATATATAGGCAGACACTAACTTGATCACAGGTGAATGATGCAGCAATTGCAACGAAGTTTGTTTTATTGTAGGGTACTGAAGGAACTGGAAATAAATGTGACAGATGTGAAGTGTGGAAAGAATTAAAAAGCAGAACAAGGAGGCACAAAACAGAGTGTTGAGAAAACCTGGTTTCCACAATAGAGTAACTCGTGAGGCAGAGTGAGGGTTAAAGCTCTATTCAAAGAAAGGGAGATCCCCATCAGACACACCTGGTTCAGGGTTCAAAATTCGCCTTAAGTATCTACCTATTTTATACCTCCCCCATCCACAAAGTCCCTCCTCCTTTCTCCTTTGGCTTAGATACTCAGAGGTTGCAGCTGCCCAGTCTGCCTATAGTGGAATTTTTCATTCCTATGTGCACAACCTACAGTTCACATAAGATTTCACAAGGCTAAGCAAGTTTTCAAAGGTTTAACAAATTATCACATTATCTACATTGATTCTTTTTCATAGACCTATAAGTTTTTGTACTCAGCAGTTTGTAGGATACAGCAGAAACTGACCAAATACTTCATGCTTAAGGACATGATAGTTTTCAGTCTGCTCTCAGAGGCACACCAAACTTAATGTTACTAGTGTCCCTGCTTTGGCATGTTGTGTCACCCCAGATCTTAATGAAGATCTAGTTATGTGACTTCTGTGATCTGTTTGTAATGTACTTGCCTGGGTATCAAAGACTGAATGGGAAGAGAGCTCAGCTTGCTGATTCAGAGTATCTGTGAACAGTTGGAATTGTAGAAAGAGCTGGGTCTGACTGACCTATAAAGGGTGTGTGTGTGATTACTAGAGGGGCACATTGCATGCCAGAAAAGAGATGTTCCCTTTTATTGGCTGCTCAGTTAACATGGATCAAAACTTACCTATTTGTTTAATGCCTGAACACCCTGTAATTTATCAGGAAACTTAAGTTTGCAGAGCATGGATTTTGAATCATTACTGTTCTATTCTGGTTTAGATAAATAGAAATGAGATTAAATTTGCTGTAGAGAATCATTTTATTACCCAGTAGATGCCCCATCTCTGGCAGTGTTCAAGGCTAGGTTGGACAGGGCTTGGAGCAACCTGATATAGTGGAAGGTGTCCCTTCCTGTGGCAGGGGTTTGGAACTGGATGAGCTTTAAGGTCCCTTCCAACCCAAACCAGTCTGTGATTCTGTGATTCTACAAAGGACAACCATGACTTATTAAGTCAAAAGTTTGAATGTTTTCCAGCACATTAATGTTTTAAGAATAATTAAATCTCATATTAATTACTTTTAATGCTTTTTTAAATACTATTCAGTCGATGATAAACTCAAAACTTCAAAATGCACAAATGTCATTTGCCGGACACCAATGCCAAACTCATGTCATGGTGAGCAAAGTTGTGCAATTTCCCATCTCTTACACTGGATGGCACAATATAGCTGGAAATCTATCAAGTGTTAAAATGCAACCTAGAAAACAAGCAAACAGGAGGTCAGAGCCAACTGCTAGGGAAATGTTGAATAATTCTATTTTTAAACATCAGACAATTGCAAATATAAGCAGTTTCTCACATGAAGGCTTTACCAAAGAGAACAAGCTTGAAGGAATAATGCTCTGTCACATTAATATTGGTCTGTACATGGGAAAAAAAATCAACTGTTACACAGTTTCAGGTCTGAAATAATACACAATCAACCGTTAAATAGAAAGTAGTCATGAAAAGAAACAAAATACAAAACATTCACCTTTCTCATGGCCTTTTTCCATTATATTTATTACAAAAATATTTTCTAGTAATCTAAAAACTCCCTACATAATGACAAATTGTAAATGGCTCCTTTCCAGTGGTTCAAGCAACAGCTCAGAAATGCTGGAATTTTAAAACATTTGAAAATTTGCCTCTATAGGGTTGGGTGTAGAGACTGCACTTGTGTAGGATTCCATCTTGCCATATTCCCTATACACAAAGTACGAATATTTGGGGGGGTCTTCCCAACTTATTTTGCCCTTTTTTGATGATAAGGACTTTGGGGCTATAGTTTAACTCTGTTTTTGTAGTCCATGCACATAACTTGGCTCTTGTCTTAGATACCTGTGATAGAAAATTACAAGAGCAACACGTGGTAGAGCAGTAGCCTTCAGATATGTACAGGAAGTAGGTAATGTATTTTGCCTCTGATATTCCTGTCAGATACATCATCACCTCATTAGAGCCATTAGTTCCATCCTCTTTGCATATTGTGCGATAAGATACTGATCAGAAAGGACCACAGTCCTATGTCCCTGTGTACTTTCTCCCAAAGCCCCCTAAGCTACTTCAGACACAACCCATGATGCTACTGTGGACTAGTTCCTAAGCAGACTTGCACTTCACATCTCCTAGCATTCCTCCCTGATGTTTTGTCTTTTTCTATTTCTGAACAAATACCTTGTTGTTGAAAAGAAGTCAAGGTCTAAGTCAGGTCTAAATGAGGATCTTGTGTTTGGATTCAGCTGGAGAAGTACAAAACTAAAAAGAATGCACATTTTTTGTAATAGTCAAACCAAACCCTTTGGCATTTCAAAGGCAAAGGACATAGTTGTTACCTACATACAAAAAATAATGTGCTCATCCTCTGTGTGTAAGATTTTCAGGTTATTTCATACATTTTTCCTATCAGAGCATCATGGTTTGTTGGGTACAAACAGCCATACCCATATAAAAGCAAACAAGCACCAGTTTCCTAGCCATGAGAATGTTCATGTCTGTATGGGGTAGGGGAATGTAATAATTATCCTGTTTACAGAAGTTATTGATCTTCTTCTTTAGTATTTAAATACTTTTTTAGTATTAAAGAAATAGTATTTGCTAACTACTGTGCCCTCAAGAAACACAGATTTTAATCCTAAATGTCACTTTGCTTGAAAACTGAGGGGCCCATTACCTGTGAGAATAATGTAGAAAAATAAAAGCAATGGGAGATCTCTTGCATCTGT